TTTATCTGGTTTTTATTTTCCCAAGTGTACTCATGCAGACTATTCAGATCCAGGCCCTCAGCTGGAGTCTTTAGTATTTAGTGTGTGGATGGATTTTCTGCACTTTCATATGATTTTTGGGTGATTCCTTATAGAGTGACATCATAAAATGTGTCCTGTATTACATTGTTCACCTTGAAAAAACCCCAAACCACAATACATTTTGACAATCCTGGTGCCCCTTGTAGCTAACATATACATTTTGTCTGTGTTTTATTCCTTCATTGTAGCTCTAAGCAGACTGGCCAGAACCCTAACATCAAATTAGTTTGTTCTTTTTGTTTTTACCACTGACATCAACTATTTAATTCCCAAGACACAGTTCTTATAGAAAGGGATAGGATAAATTCCTGATTATTCTTCAAACAACCAGTTTTCAGGATGATGAGTCAGTTCCTTAAGGTAGCCACTAAAGTGTGTGTTTTTAAAGAATCATTGTGAACTCACGGATTTAAATAATTTGAAGTGTTTCAATCGATTATAATTATTGTTCTTATTAATGCTCAAGTGGTGGCTTCTATCAAGTGAAGGTGTAAGAAATGGTTTCATTGCTCTGCTTTCCCTCTTTAATAGTTTTTGTTATAGGGTCTCACTGCACAACTCTGGCTCGTAGTGATCCTCCTGCTCTCAGCCTCCCCAGTGCTGGGATCACAGGCGTGCACCACCACGCCTGGTCTTGGTAGCCAGCTCAGTGTGCCCAGGAGTGGGGCTGGCACAGCATGTGGGATTGAACCCCAGTCCCTGCATTTGCCTAAGCAGGCTCTTAGTTTGCTGAGCTATCTTGCTAGCCCAGTTTCATAGTTCATATTTCTGCTTTCTTGCTGTGAATGAAGTATTTGATGTGTGGATGTGTGTGGGAGGCTGGGGGAAGCTGTTTCTATCCTTCAGATGTTGGCTTTGCTAAGGGTTGTCTAAAAGTGACCAGAAAGGACATTTTGAGAAAAAAAAATTTTTTTAATGTATTTAGTACAGGGTCTTCAGGGTCTACAGGGTCTCACTACGTAGATCAGACTCGCAGTGATCCTCCTGTTTTCAGCCTCCCAAGCGCTGAGATTACAGGTGTGTGCCACCACGCCCAGTCTCAATCACCCTCTCAGCACACACCAGGGGTGGGGTTGACAAGGCACACCAGGGAATGAACCCGGCAGCTGAAGAAATTATTTTTTAAAATACTTTAGTGGACAGAATTCTTGCCACCATCTTTGTGCTGTATGCTAAAAGAAAAAATGTCATGGTGCTAAATGCAGGAAAAATCCTTCCTGGGCATTTGTAGCCACAGGCTGGCCCCCACTGTGTGTTTTGCAGCTAAGATGCTCACTGCCTTCAGTAAAAATTTTAGCCTCGTTCCTTCAGACGAAAACTAAGTCCATATGGGCACTTGATTTTCTTTAATCATGGTTTTATTTTCCCAAATGTACAGCTTATTGGACCCATTCACATGTCTTCATCAACAACTCCCTGGGGTAATGCCCTTGGTGTTCCTGGCACAAATAACAAGCTCTGTGCCTTGGAACAAGCTTGACAATTCCCTAAGGAGCTCCTAATGGACTGTACCGAGGAACTTCCTTACAGTGCGTCATGCATAGCTTTATAAAACAGGACCAAGCTGTGGAGCTTGTTCAGAACTCTGCCATTGGACTTCTTTTTGACTTTGCCCAGGGTTTGTTTACTAGGTCTTTGTTGGAGACACTTCCAGGTCCTCGTCTCGGTCCAAAAGCCAACATTTATAATCCCAAAGTTATGTTATTGGAATCCCATCAAGTTGATTCCAATCTACCAGTTACAATGCAACCCAAGGCGAAAATAAAGACACTAAATTATATTTTCAATCACTGGGGAGTCAAGGGGCTCTAAGTCCAGCCACGAAGATGGCTTTCCGGAACCAAGAGAGCAACCCAGGGCCTCACCCGGTTTTATTCAGTGGAGGAGTGGCTTGAGGAGGATTGACTAAGAATTGTGGGAAGTAGGTGACTACTGTGAGCTGAGCTAGATGGGTGGCCTAAATTTACCTCTGCCATATGCAGAGAGGATATGCAGAGAGAGTAATCTGCATTATATAGTGTCTAATGTTTTGGTAAGTCAGGTGCTTCAGCTTTGGTGTAGCCTTTCAAGCCCCAGGAAGTCATAGCCTCTGTCTTGAGGCTGGATCCCAGCTGGTGGCATGGAGCATTAGCTCTACCATCCTGTCTTAACCTGGCTCACATTAAGGAGCAGCAGGTGTAGGTTACCAGGGAAACACGCATGCCACCTTCAAAGACTATCACCAGCACCTCAGCTAGACCAATACACATTGCTTAAGGCTAATTGAAGGATAAACAGAAGTCCTAGCCAGCTCTGTACATATCAATACAAGGAAATAGAGTGAGGCTCAGTCAAAATGGAGATAGTTGCTCTTCTTTCAAGGAGAGCTGCTCAGGTGGTCCTCCACAGGTCTGTCTTGCTTGCTTGACTTCCTGGCATCTTTGTTCATGCTGTCCTAGGCATGTCTGGCATTACAGAGCTTGAAGTACAGCAGTGCCCACTGCAGAATCTGCAAGCTGAATTTCCTTAGGAAATGCTTCTGACACCTGCAACCTAGGGCCTATATCATATTTTTTTTTAAGTAAGGGTCTAGAGGGTGTACAGGGTGTACATGGTCTCACTATGCAGATCGAACTCATAGTGATCGGCCTGTTTTCAGCCTCCCAAAGAGCTAGGATTACAGGTGAGCGCCACCATGCCCAGTCTCAACTGCTGTCTCAGCAAGCCCCCAGGGGCGGGGCCTACAACTCCAGCCACCGCACAGGCACTTTAATCTGCTGAGCAATTTGGCTGGCCCTTATACCATATTCTGCAGCAAAGATATGAGCCTTTTCCAGCGAACAAGAGCAGTCCATTGCAAATAATTATGATGCTGAATTTCTTTTCCACCAGTAGCACTTTTTCTTTTTCTTTTTTTTTTTTCTTTTTTTTTTTTTTTTCAAAGCAGGGTTTCACTCTACAGTTTAGGATGACCTCACCCTTGTTTTTCTCCTACTTGTGCCTCCCAAGTGCTGCGATTATAGGTTTGCCATGATACCAGCTTCAGTAATATTCTGCACTAAATTCTGCATTCTTTGTGAGAAAATGACAGAAGTAACATTCTTCACATTTCACATTTTTTCCCAGAAAACAGAAATAATAGTTTTCTAGGTAGGAAGATAAGACTAGCTTAGGGGCCGGGGAGCTGGCTCAGTGGAATAAGCACTTGCCTGGCAAGCACAGTGGCCTGAGTTCAATCCCCGGTTTAGCTTATTATGGTTTGGATCTAAAATGTCCCAAGTCTCATCTGTTCAGAGGTGGAGCTTTTGGAAGGTGACTGAATCATTGGGGGTGGGGCAGGGGTATCTATACTCATCAAAGGATTAATCCATTGATGAGTTTATAACTGAGTGTGCTTAGGAGGTGGGACCTGGTTGTAGGCGTGTCACTGCTGGTGACCTGGAAGGATGTATTCTCATCCGCAGCTCTGGTTTTCTGGCTGCCGTAGGTGAGCAGCTGCCTCTCCCATGCCCTTTCACTTCCATTTCTGCTTTGGAGCCTGCAGAACATGGGATGCACCCACTGAAATCGTAAGCCAAAATAATCCTTTTCTCCTTTAAACTGTGGGTGTTGCATCCCGCACCGCAGCAATGGAAAAGCTAATAGAGATCTCAAACACCACAACAAGGCAGTGGCTAGCCATAATGTTCGCATGAGAAGTCTGGCAAAACATGCTGCCATGGGGGCAGGGGAGACAGCTCGGCAGTCTAGGCACCTGCTTGGCAAGCATGAAGACCTGGGTTCAATCCCCAGTACTGCATGCTGTGCCAGCCCTGTGCCGTGCCAGCTACTGAAACTCAGTATGGTAGCACACACCTAAATCCCAGTGCTGGGGAGGTTGAGACAGGAGGATCACTACAAGTCCGAGCTGCACAGGGAAACTCTGTACCAAATAAATAACACATATAAGATTTTTTTAAAAATGCTATGAGCAAAGCTATATATACCGTCACGCTGAGAGCTGATGGCAGGGCTGCAGTATCTTGGTAGTGCGAGAGAAAGCAGGAGACAGAGGAACGCACACCTCCCACCTGCATGAAGCCTCCTAACAATGGAGACAGGATGGTCTGGCTTCTTGTAGTTTTTCTGTGTATCTGTAGTTTCCCAAAAGGCCATACTCACCTTAGTGGATGCTCATGTCCCATCCCAAAGCAGTATACCCTGAAGGTCCCTTTGTCCACATATCAGGACCTAAAGTTTCAGGGTTTTCCTGAGTACTTTGTACCTGAGGTTTGCAGTTCTTACAGCACCAGTGGCTATGTTTTTTCTCAATCTAAAGCATCCTCTAGATTCAGCCACACCAAAAGGGGGCCATCACCAGACTCAGCCCAAAAGAGTAGGCTGTGAGGTGAAGCCGGGAGGGACTGGCTGGCCAACCTCTCAGCCCAGAACAGTCCAGCCGGAAGATGCTGACAGTCTCTACCAGGCCTGGTCCAGGGTCTTGACTTTAGAAGAAAGCTGCTTTCTCCAGGACACACTCCTTGCTAGAAATCCCCATGCTCTTTCCTGACTTGCTTTTGCTTGCAATACAATTCTCCAGTCACATGCTTTTCTGACACCCACACAACAGCAGGGCAGGCTTCCACCTGCCATCACTGTCCCCGTCCTCCCTGTAGCATCTATCCAGTACCCTCGCAGGGGACCGCATTCTACACCCTGCCCTGGCACCATGTCCAAGCAGGTTTCACTGGCTGGTAGAACACAGAACAATATGGATGTCTCTCTAGAAGTCACAAAGGTCAAGGACTAGCCACAGTCAAATCTGACCCACTCACTGTCTCTCCGAGGCTCTGATATTTTATAATTTCTGTGAGAATCACAAACTGAAAACAAAATACTCCTGGCTGATCACTCTCCATTTCCCCATCAAATTCAACAACACAGAAACAAGACTACAGACCATCAGCGAAAAATACTTTATGTTTTTAAAAAAGACATTCTTAGGGTGGCGCCTGCAGAGGGAGGTAGGTCATCTCCCCATCTCACCCACTGAGGAGCTTCCCAGTCAGTTCCGCAGGGCCCTGGCTGCCTCCGGGAGCAGCTGCGGAGTTGCCTACAGAAGGCTCAAGACACAGAGGGCAACAAAGGCCCAGTCCCGGGGCAGGAACACCAGAAGTGAGAGAAAGGCCCTGACAACACATCTCTTGCAGGAGGCCATGGTCTTCTGCCCATGCTTGGTTCTTTCTCTCTGTCACTAGTGTTTTATTTTTTTTTCTTGGTGCTTTTAAACCCTCTTGATGCACCCTGTCCAAAACAGATTGTAGGAGGTATTCTGGAACAGAAAAAAGGTTCATATTAAACAGATTTTTCAAAAAAGGCATTCCCTTTGCCAACAAGCAACCCAATAAAAGCTTTTAATGCATTCCTTCTTATTCTGGGGTGTTCCATTTCTCTTGTGCCCTGTAAAGCACTCGGGAAGAACAGTTGGTCTCCTGAAGCTACTGTCTCAGATCTGCTTCCTTTCTGTAGATTTTCCCGGGTACTAGTGGCACTGTCTTGGGAGAACTCAGCCAAGAAAGCCTGTGCCTGCCAGGCTTCCTGGCACCCACTGCCCATTAAAGTCTAACCTCCAGCTTGGTCTGGGCAGCCAGCAGACACAGCTGAGGAGCAGGCATGCACGCACATTTTGCTGCCAGTGCATATTCTTTGGCTCTTTCCCCCCACTGTTCAAATTTTCCCCCAAACTTTGGCTTGCTTTATATTTTGACCCAATGCTAGACAGTCTGCCAGGTTGTGACTGAGGCAAGTGCCAACAAAGGTTCTTCCTGCCCAGCCTAGACTGATGGCAAAAGAGGTGGTGCTTTCCGTTCTGGGCTTCAGAGTCCACAACATAGAATGCCAAGAAAGGGATGGTGAGATGGCTCAGTGGTCTAAAGCACCTACCTAGAACAAGCTAAGCAAAGCACAGGAACCGCGGTTCAATCCCCCAGCACCACATGCCAGCCAGCCCCGCCCCCTGGTGGGCTGAGCTGGCCACACACACACACACACACACACACAAATAATAAAAAAAAAAAATTCTTAAAAAAAAAAAAAAAAAGAATGCCAAGAAAACTGGAACCTTCAGGCTATCAATTCCACAGACATTAATGTTTTCATTCAGTTTTACTTCCTCTCAAAAAGATTATGAGCTCAGGGTCAGAACACAAACTGTTTTAGTAAGAGGTCCACACTAACCTGTGACTGTAGGTCCGCCTCTCACCTACTGGTGCTTGGGGCAGAGCCATGGGTTCAGAGCAGACTTCCATGGCATCGCCATCATCCGCCTGGGTTCTGGTGGACAGGTTTGTAATGGCCCCTGGCATGGCTCGGCTGCAGAGGACAGAATGATAAGCAGCAGCCGCACACAGCTCCTATAGCTGTGGGCTCCCCCAGAAATGAACTTCTACAGAATAGACTTTTCTTATGATTTGGCATATTTTAATTTTATAGTGCTATCTTCAGGCCACCAGAAAAAGACTGCTGTAAGATTATTTACATAAATCCTAAATTTTATAAAATTAATCATAATGATTATACTTTGCTTTCCAAAAATATTCTTTTATGGTACCATGTGGAAATGCCAACCAATGATGCTAAACATCTTATATGATAGATACACTTACTAAAATTAACCAGAGACTATGAAGCAGAGTACCCTCTACGTTACCAATGTATTGATCAGCATTGTAGGGCTTTTCTGTTAAAATAATCCCTTAGAAAATTAGATTCTTGGGGTGGGGGAGATGGCTCAGTAGGATAAGCGCTTCACTGGCAAACACAAGGATCTGAGTTCAACCCCCGGTTCCGCCAAAAAAAAAAAAAAAAGAAAGAAAATTAGATTCTTATGCAGCCTCCCACTTTGTAGTGCGTTCTCCAATTATTTTACTCTAAGCACCAAAATGCTATTTAG